CCCCCCCCCAATGGGGAACCCCTGGAAAACCCATCAATCAGACGGCAGTATTCACGCACGTGATCAGACACGAATCTATGCTTCCCACTTCATAATTCCATCAGCCTTCCGTGTTTACGGACGTGTTTTGGTTTCTTCTACGGGGTTCCAACTGCTACTGGCGTTTTTTGTACCGATATATATTGTATCCTTTATACCAAATTTCTTTATTTTGTTTTAATTTAGCGTTTTGCTTTATTTTGCGCCGTTTTGCGACCAGGCTCCGGCCACGTGTTCGCGGTTGACGGTTTGTTTACTTTGAGATGGAGACTCCTCCTTCTCAAAGGCGCTGTCCTTGGGGTCATTTATTTGAGGCTTCCGACCCCCACCCTAACTGTCCTAGCTGTCAGTCTTGCTCTCTGGAGCAGCCTTGTGACATTTGCCGTGCCTGGCAGCCGCCTCCTGCCGGTGGTTCTCCCCGCCCGCGAGGGCGTGCAGGTAAGTCGGGTAGGAGGGGTAGGGGTGGGGCGAGGGCTAAGGCTAGGCCTAAGCCCTCGGAGAACACCAGCGGAATTTCGACCTCTGTTGAGTCTTCCCTGGGGTTAGTTTCGGCGGTTTCGGCCCGTACCGGGGCCGTTGTAAAACAGTTTGTTTCGTTGGACCCGGACCTTTCTCTCTCTCTCCCCCCCCATTCCGTTTTGTCGGTCGACGTGGGTGAGGGTTTGGGCTCTGTCCCGGTCACCACGGTGACTAGGGGACAGGGGGCGGCCTTCTCTCCCAATTTGTGGTGGGAGGGCAGGTGGCCCAACATTCCCTGCCGGTCCGCTCCACTCCTGAGGGTGATGTTTTCGGAGACCGGCCCCCGGCAGTTTTGTCTGCTCCTGGGGTTCCCTGCATCCCTGATGTAGCCCCTGGGGTGGTGATAGCGTCTAGCACGCCGTCCACCACTGTGCAGCATTTGCTGCCCGGTCCGCCTCGGCCTCGCTAGCCTCGGCTGGATTTTACGGTGGTGTGAGCACTGATTCAGGTTCGATGGTTCCTTCGGTTCCTCGGTTACCTGAATTCACTGGCGGATGTGGTTCCCTTGGGTCGGCTTCACATCCGCCCGCTCCAGCTGTTCCTTCTGTCAGTTTGGTCTCCGGTGTCTCGGCAGTGGGATGTGTACATTCCTCTGCCGGAGTCGGTGAAGGAATCAGCTCGTGGTGGACTCTCGAGAGCAATCTTGGCAGGAGTTCCTCTGGTTCGGGCATCTCCTGCTATGACCCTTTACACCGACGCGTCCATGACCGGTTGGGGTGCATACCTTTCCGGTCAGACGTCGGCGGGGGTGTGGTCAGGGGAACAGCTTTCAGAACACATCAATGTTCTGGAAATGCGTGCTGTTCTGTTGGCCCTTCGGGGTCTTCGACCCTCCCTGCAGGGCAAGGCCATTTGTCTGGCTACAGACAACTCCACTGTGGTGGCTTATCTGCAGCGCCAGGGGGGCACCCGTTCCCCGGCTCTGTGTGCTTTATCCACCCAGGTCCTGTTGCTGTGTCAGGAGATCAGTCTCGATCTCACGGTGAGGCACCTTCCAGGTCGTCTGAATGTTCTGGCCGACACTCTGTCTCGGTCTCGGAGCCCGGTTCTCACCGAATGGACCCTCAAGCGTTCGGTGTTCCGGTCTCTTTGCCTGGTTTGGGACAGACCCCATGTGGATCTGTTCGCCACGGCCCTGAACTTTCGACTCCCTACCTTTGTGTCTCCGGTTCCAGATCCTATGGCCATGGCGGTGGATGCTCTATCCAAGGACTGGTCGGGAATGTACGCGTATGCGTTTCCTCCCTTCAATCTGGTGGGCAGGGTGTTGGAGAAGATTCTTCTACACCATTGTACTGTGTTGCTGGTTGCACCGCTCTGGCCTCGACAACGTTGGTTTCCTCTGTTGCTTCGGCTTTCGGTGGACTTCCCGCGCAGCATCCCGACCCTGTGCGATCTGCTGTCTCAACCGAGGTCCCGGCAGTTCTATTCGGGACCAGAACGGCTCCACCTTCACGGTTGGATGCTATCTCGGGAAGGCTCACTCAGACGGGCTTTTCTCGAGAAGTTGCAACTCGCATCGCAGGATCACTTAGACCTTCGTCTTCCGCCGCCTACCAATCTCGATGGTCCGCCTTCGGTGATTGGTGTCTCGGACGGTCGATTGACCCAGTCTCTGCCTCTGTTCCCGTTGTAGCCGACTTTCTTTTGTCTCTGTTCCAGGACAAAGGTCTGTCTCCGGGAACTTTTGCAGGCTATCGTTCAGCCATTGCTAGTGTGCTGGCTTTCTATGGTAGCAAGTCTGTGGGCTCGGACGCTTCATTGTCTGCTCTCATTAGGGGTTCTACATTGAGAAGCCTCGTTCACGGCAATTGGTCCCTAGGTCGAATTTAGCACTTGTGTTAGATTCCTTGTTGAGGGCGCCATTCGAGCCCCTCCAGTCGACGGATCGGAAGTTTCTTACTTTCAAGACTGTGTTCTTGATAGCCTTTGCTTCCGGTCGCCGCAGAAGCGAGATTCATGCTTTCAGCAGATCTCCTTCTTGCCTTCGTTTTTCGGCTGGCCATTCTTCGGTCTCAGTGACCACTGATCCCTCCTTTTTAGCTAAGAACCAGGTTCCCGGTTTCACCCCAGGGCTTGTGGTTATCCCTTCTTTGGCTTCAACTCTGGATGGGGATTGTCCTGATCGCCTGCTCTGCCCAGTTCGGGCCTTGCGTTACTACTTGGCCAGAACAGAGGGGGGGGCGGGACACTCGTCTCGGCTGTTCCAGTCTCTCCAGCCCGGTCGCTCTGATATCTCTGCAGCGACCATCTCACGCTGGATTGTTCAGACTGTTCGAGCTGCGTATGAGTCGGCAGNTCCTCCCTCTTCTTTTGCATAACCCTCATTATGTATTCTCCGCGTGATCCGGAACGCTGGTCGTAATCAGGCTCTGTGTCGCAAAAGAAAAGGTATTTTGAATTTTTCCTCCGGGGGTACGGGTCCTATTGTTGGAACCCTTTATAGCTCCACGGAGACACCACTGCGGTAAGTCGAATTCGCATTATAATTATACTTACCACAGTCATTAGGTGAGTTCCCTCTCAGCCTCCCCTTTTCTCATTGGCTCTCACTTTTTTGGGCTTTGGAATTATAAAGTGGGAAGCATGGCTTCGTGTCTTATCACGTGCGTGAATACTGCCGTCTGATTGGTGGGTTTTCCAGGGGTTCCCCATGGGGGGAAAAAATCTTTATTTACGTATGTGCATTATAATGACTGTGGTAAGTATTTATAATAGAAATTGGTTTCACAAGAGAAACCTCAAATGTGTTTTATAATGTTCTGTATACGCAAGTATCTAAAATAAATATACGATATTTGATATCTACTACAAAATGACACACTCGTCGAATGCTAATAATTTCTATCGATGTCTTATGTTTAATAACTACGTTTACCACATATTGTCACCCTTCTAATTTGAAACACTCTCTGATTGGATATCTTGCCGGGGTCTATATTTCTATAGAGCACTTGCGAGATAAACAAGCGCAATCGGGAACCGTCGGCACTTTCCGTAAACGAGAAAATACTAGTATTCTCGAGGTTTGCAAATCATTCACAGGATGAAATAGCTTACAAGCAATCTAAATCGACAGCAAATTCAACGAAACAGGTAATGAGGGGGCCGCTAGGTTGCTAATTGTAAAGATGGTTGTGATTTGTCCGAAATATTGCCGAAAACTATTCAAAAGATGTCCGGTAGGCCTGGGGGTTATTTTGTTAGCAGTCAAGTACAACTAAAACTCACAAAGTGACTTATAATTTTGCAGGACAAAATGTAATAAAAGATCGCCAGGGTGACGAATTTGTTATCTCTGGGTTAGGAGGGGTCTACTGGCTCATACTCCACTTTGGTATTGATAGGCCTCTCGCCTTTGGCTCTATGAGCCCGTAGACCCCTCCTAACCGAGAGATAATAATGTAATGTGTTATCCGGTGTATATACCCATCTCATATTTTTTGGCGTATCAACCCATGTACTATGACCTTTCAGCCCTGTGATAAGTTGTAAGTGTCAATTATTTCAATTGTGACGTCACGCTAGGCCAAGCACATGACGTCACAGACTTACGCACTGGAGTCAAAATGGCGTCTTTTTACATTTCAAAGTTGCATGCATACACATTGTCGTTTTACACGAATAAATGCCACAAATCTTGATAATATGATTACAATCTCAAGTCAATATAATTTCATATGACTAGTATATCAATATGTTTAATGCAGAATAATCACCCAATTTCAATTTGGTAGAAACACAAATTTATATTGTGGATAAATTAATTAGAATGTAAAACAAATGTGTACTGAATACTCCGGTACACCGTAGATCAATCTTATATTAAGTAAAAAGACAAGATCGTAATCTGATCCTTTAATTCGATAATATTAAGCAAATTTCATGTAAGATATCTTGAACACAGTCAATGCTTAAATATAGCATTTACATTAATCTGTACCGATTTCATAAGTGGTCTGCTTTACATACATTGGTGGAACCACGAAGTTAGTGGCGTATAGTGTGACAGTAATTAACACAGTCGTCATAGACACAGAGTAATTACATTACAATTCAAACATCATCAAACTACAATAAGATAACGTGTTCCCCCTGAGTATGGTGTATCACAAACTATTGATAAAAAGAAGAAATACTGGCAGTCAACTATATACATCATGCATATATGTTACGATACGAAATTAATACTTTCACAATATTGTTCAGTTTTCACTGATCAATTGTAGGACAGAGCGCTCATCAAGCCTTCTGCCCAATATCTTTAATTTATTTCGACGTTTTAAAGGAGATTGGAAAACTATGACCAGACACTCATGACATGACCTCTCTTCTGTCATGTCCAAACTTCAAAATTAAGCTCATAAAACCAACGAAAAATATGTTTGTTTACTCTTAATCGTAGTTTTATTTGTAGGGATGACAAGTTTACATACAGATCCAGGTTAGGAGTAATAAAACTGTTTAGCTCTAATTATGCGCAAGCATCTCGAGTTTATCGTATCTAAATGCTCGATAAACGCTTCTCTGTTGGTCAAACTATCCACAACCCCTTGCATCGGTATTCATTAACCTCGAGAGAAATCACCGACTGAGGTCTTTGGTAAATATATTTATGTTTGGTTTGGTTTAGTATTATTTAACGTCCTATCAACAGCTATGGTCATTTAAGGACGGCCTCCCTTGTGTGCAAGATGCATGCGTGTAGTGTATGTGTGTGTGTGTTTTGGGAGGCTGCGATATGTTAGTGTTTTGTCCCAGTCGTTCCACTCTAAACTTGTTGAGTGTTTACAGACTTTGGTATGTCTCGGCCAGGGGACAGAACCCAAAGCCTACCTCGCAGGGGCGAACGCTCAACTAAAGGCCAAAAGTGAGGCATTGTCAGGGGAGACATTAGAAAGAAGAAAGTTGTTTAGAAAGAAGAGAAAAGATGAGATCCCAAAATTAGTCGCCTCTTACGATCATGAAATGGGGGCAGCTGATACAATTATTACGCCCTACCTGGTCATTTCATATCAAATACTAATAATTGATAAGTTGGCATGCATAACACGAATACACCTTTATGTTTTATATGCAGTAACCGAATTTTTAAAAGAGACGGATTTTTTTTTCATCTTCAGAAACTGGACCCAGTTGGTCGAGCATTATATCAAAAAGAGAGAAATGTGAAATATTTCATCAAAATTTAAATGATTTAACCAACAAGGCATGATCAGACACCTGTGTAATATTCACAGTATAAAAGTTTAAAAAAGTGAGATAAAAACCTCTCCCACAAGTTATCTCTACGGACCACACTGATCGCACATTCGATTATTTTAACATAAAATAAAATGAATACAAAACTATCAACTATAATCAAGGTTTACTGAAGGAATGATATACATGATCATATCCATTATCATTGCAATGTAAATAGTACTGCTATGTGCTACTCTGTTTGGATTAAAAAATATATATCTCGTCGTTAAAATAAAAGGTATACATATCACAGAAATTCTACGTACAAAATGTAAGTCCGGATTGCCAAGTCTATAACCAGTCTACATAGATTTGACACACTAACAAATAACTTATCAAGGATTCTATTTTTTAATCACTTTACTATATTTTCTATATCAATTTCACAAACAGTAAATACGTCGTGCATATAAATGCACAAGTGAAGGACGATTACTACTACTTACTGATTTAGTTTCATCTTGTTAAAAGAAAACGAAAACATGAAGTTTCTAGGTTCGCTTCTCAAACCATCGATTTAAAATTGGCGTTTGATTAAATAAATAGGTTTTGCAGTATACGAGTGTGCAATTGTCTCACATTATGTATTGAATTCGTGTGACCTATATGTTTTGCCATATTTTAGCAACGCCACGAGCCATGTTATATTTTTAAATCCACAGCTCTCAATACAGTTATTTGAACAGAGAATACATACTTTACCTTACATATTAGACAATTATTATTTATAATTATGAAAAACGAATTTGGAATCCTGTCGGTCTCTATAAGCTTATATCAATGAAAAAATCGTCATGTTTATACATAACTTTCTGTCGACACATCATCAATATTTAGCAAAATAAATGAAAATATATATAATCGGTCTGTAACCGGCAATATTCAACAGGTGTCCTCATTCATATGGGTGCTAACCAATTTGCCGTCGGCGGCATTGGTCACATCAATACACACAGTGTCCGACCGTCGTGGCCGGAACGCTGTTATAACGTTAGTAAGTGTGCTCAAGGTGACTCTCCTGGATGGAGAGGGAAGAATCGAAGACCAACGATGTAAAGGTTGAGGGGACACTGGGTTCACACCTTGCTGAGGTACGTCTGTGTCGAAACCTGAACCTAAGCTTTGCCCTAACCCACTGAGTCGTTTCTCTAGGGTCCGCTCCTTTGTTCTGATGCCTTCCAGCTTCTGTTCTATGGTAGCTTCTTTCGCTTGTATTTCAGATTCCCTCCTCTCAAGAGCTTCCTTTTTTCTCTGCAGTCTTCTTTTCTTCCTTTTCGCCTTTTCCATATTTTTACGGAAAGCCTGTTCTGCCTGAAACAATGCGATAGGAGGCAGGCGTTTTGGATTGAGAGGGGTGGAGTTAGCGTTCCTGTCTTCGGTTCCGTGTTTGTTACCCTCACTGAGAGGCTCTCCGGTACCCAGAAGTGCGATAGGCGGTAGTTTATTATGTGTTTTTTCCGGAAAGGGTGCCACGTGGTTTGGTTTTATTGTCGACTTTGGGGCTATCTGAGCTCCTGTTGGTATGAATCTGCCCAGAAGAGGGTTTTCAAAATTTGAACTCAATGACTTTTCATCTGAATCTTGTTTCTGGAAAATGCAAAACAGTTTTGTTTTTATACGCCGTAGATATTTTCAGGGTGACCCACAAAATAAGTATTTTTCCTGACTATATCTTAATTTGTAACATCATATAATTAATCTATCAGGAATGAAAAGAAATAAGTTAGTTGGAAAGCATTCGACATATCCTATAGAAATAAGAAATCACCAGTATTTCACAAAATATTCCGTTTTTCGGTAAGGTACAGTGAAAGGTTGTGGACAAATATTTCATTGTGTTTTAATAATATATAACAAATAACGATGTTAATCTTAAACAATTATTATGGTTGAAATCGACACAAGTCACAGATAATAAATCGTTATCATCATCTGCCGAAATGAAATTGACTGTTTGCAAGTTTTTTCTACATCGACACCTACCTTTTCTTTGCAGCAACGTTCTTTTAGTTTGTCGCGGCACAGAAGAAGGATCAGGATGATAACCAGTATGAGGACGACAATGACGACAACGATAATCCAGATATCTAGAAAACAAGGAACCTGGACTATTTACAGGGACGGAAGGGAAGACGTAGTGGGAGTCATCAAAAAGAAAACGGAGACATCAAAAATAAAACATCTCACATCACCACAGGGTAAAACATCACTATTTCCAACCAATGTGATTGAGGAAGAACTGATTAATTTTACCTTTACTAGATCGATCACTTAATGTGCATTGTTTAACATTTTTCTTCACTGACACTTTTTTTTTCACCCTTTTAATTCAATCACTTTACATTCAAATTAAAGAAAAAAGAAAGCCAAAATCCTTATTCATTCATCAATACAAAGTATTGTATGTACAATATAAGAAAACTTAGTTGTAGATAGTCTTCTTTTTACAGTTGACATGCACACCTGCGTCAGACCTCACTACATTATTGCCATTTAACATGTATCCTTCACATAACATAATGTAAATAACACGGAAATTTCAATACAAGGTGATGAAAAACTAAACTAAAATACAAAGGATTTGAGCACACTCATTTGTTGGAAATATATGAACCTATGTTAAATAAGCGTTAACCAATGAAGCAGTCGCCTCTTGTATTTTTGATCGTAATCTATTTTGTTAAACAGTGTGTTATTGACTATTTCTGTTTTTTTCTTATCGTGTTCAGGTCGACTTCAAGAAATAGTACTTCTGTCTTACATCTCAATGTATAATAGTCTACCGTGTTTATGAAAAACAAAGGTTGCACTGTAAAGACTGACTGAGGAGTGCAAATGTTTCCATCTGGCAGTATCGATTGAGAACTAATAAGTGATTGTGATACAAGTAATGGGAATCTATTTTCAACACATATGCAAACAACTGAAGACAAGAAACATCTTGGAGCTATTTGCAGCAGTGATGGGAAATGGATAGAATATATATAGATGACATTGTTCGTAAAGCTTCCAAATAAGTTGCAAAAGTAACCACGAATGAAGTTTTGTTCACCAGTATACCAACAAGAATATGTATGAGATATGATAAAAAAAGAAACAACAATAAAAACTAAGCAATACTATTCTGAAAGTAGTACAAAGGGTGCCAGACCAGAATTCGATCACTGGACCTTCAATTTAAATACGGTCGCTCAACCCAACGGAACCTCTTGATAAGTAGTTTATATCTAGCCCTTTCCAGTTTTATATTTGGAACGAAAGTAAAGGGAGGTCATTTTGAGTATGAAAAACAGTATTCTCTAGAGTTTGCAAGCAAAGGGACATGAATTCTTAAGCAAAAATGATTTGATGAAATATTGCATTTCTTGCTCGTGACAATTAATTTGTGGGGACGCCAGTTAATCAATAGTTGAAAAAAGTCAGTTAGAAGCTGGTTGATCTGTTACACTGTTGCCCTTTAATATCCAAACTGATTTACAATTCTCTTTTAACTCTTTCCGTACCGCAACTCCGGTCCGGATTCCGTACCGGATGTACTTATTAGACTCGCCCCCGCGCATTAAACAAAATGGCGGATTTTTAATGTACTTTTTTAACTAGGTGTAACTGCCGCAAGAATTAAACAGGTAACCGTGAACAAATATTGTTATTGTTTCATGTTCTGGTTCATAGACAAACACTTCTTCATTTTCGCAGCATAATGACTAACTGGCAGATGATTATGACTGAAAAATCGACATTTGTCTGGCAATAAACGATACGATTCCTTGTATTTAATACAGCGTTGTAGTACATGTTTCCAATGGGGTTTGATTATGGTTACGAATGTGGAGTCGTTGAGTTTTTTTCTAAATACAAGTAGATTTCATCAAAACTTATATTAGAATATTCAAATTTACTTCCATAAGTCTCAACAAATATCTGATGATGAATTTACGAGTGTTCGTATCGAATTAAGTTGCCGCCATCTTGTTTACATTTGAGGCACCAAACGCAAACATCTTACGGCAAATGCGAAAACTTTAAGTCACATAATAAAAAAGTGTGCTCTGCACAACTAAAATTCTTTCTTCCAAACTGATGGGTTCTGATTTTAGCGACAATTAATTGTTTTGTCGCGACTGTCTCGTGCGATAACCAACTAAACATAAGACAGGTTACGTCAGCGTCTCTTGTCGTGTGTACACGACAACAGGGATGAGACGGCCCATTATTTTGTCGTCTGTACACGACAACGGGGACCAGGATGACATATTGTTGTCGTGTGTACACGACAACGGTACGGAAAGAGTTAAGACGGCAGATTCGTTAGTTGTCGATATTTTATACAACAAATATGAAATTTAGGCCACTAATTATTGGAAAGATACCTTGATAGGATTTAACGAATGTGCAACAATAAGATATTTAATTATCGATTGCAAATAATGCAAAACTCTCGTTTCTTCATCAATTATTAGAACATGAAGTTATCTCGACAAATATATCAAACCATCCGAAATTTTCCACGTCTAAGATCATAATATTGTAGTTCAGCGCATGGACAAAGTAGTGCCAGTTTATTTGTTTTATTAATTAAAAGTTTTAAATGCGATGAGAATATAAATGACAAAATGATCATCTCAAATTCATTCATTGCGTAATATGTAATGGTTACACGGTTATTCTCGAAGAGGACTTTGCTTACTTTGTAAAACTTCTGTCCGAAGCGTTTGCGAAACATTTGTAACAACACAATATGTTTAAATAAAAAGCTTACATGAATCCTCCCCGGCGGTACCACTTCCGGCGGCTGGCGTATTACCGGTCCCAGGGGTGCTGCTTCTTGGACTTGTGACATGATCTGTTGTTGGTATTGTGGTTGGCATTGGTGTTGAAGGTTGTGTAGATGGTGGTGGTGATGTTGATTCTGGCGTTGTGATCAATGGCGTTGTCGTTGGTGAGCACTGAGGAATATTCGCTTTATTTATATAACCCTGTCCTCTAGACGTTCCACAGGCTAAAGTCAAGTTTGCTAATGGGTCTATAGCTGTAATATAAGACAGTATCAAGGTATCAATTCTTTTCAGGAGTTAGAATATTGTAAACAAAATTATGTTACAGGTGGGTTTTTAATTATAAGTTTTTTTACTTTCGTACTACATTTTCTTATCATGATGCATTTTACAGCATTTTTTTTTTTTTTTATAACAAAGTACACAGTAGATGTAATATTCAAGAGGAAGCATGATTAAATTAAACTAAACCTGTGATCAGAAGGAAGAATTTGCCAGCGTTAATGCCAAGTGTGTTGTTCGCCTCAATTTCAAGATAGTAAGACTCGCTGTCATAGATGTAAGTCGGTATGAGGTCCGTATTTGATTCACAGCCAATGGAGGTCCTGTTTTCGCCATCTTTTATCGTCAATGATTGGCCACATACTCCGTTTTCAGAGATCAATATAAAATTAAGAGCACGAACGCGAAGTTGCGATACACAGGAAGCGGCCACAGAGCATGAGTACGAAGACATTTGTGTCATATTGCCATCCGGGTATCCAGTGTTCCAGAGAAACACTTCTGCGTCTGTTGTACTTGTATTGCCACTGATTGTCTGTATGTCGTTTTCTAAGAAGAAACATGGAGATGATGAGACATTAATTCAACATCAAGAATATGTATTTTTTAGTTGTATTATAAAAAATGTACCCTTTTCTTTTTGTCGACAATTTTGATCATAATAAAAAACAAATCGAATTACATCATCATTACCTCACACGGCAAGAGGATGCCATGCCGTTTGTTTTTGTCAAATAGTCTGCTTGAATTAACATATCGGCTCCTATAAACCTATAAAAGTTTTGTTCATCTAACCCCTGCAAATATTTCTGCTTCTTCTTATCATCATGATGTTATGATTTTAAATAAAACAACGTTTACCTGCCAAACAATAGAAATAGGCCACCATGTAGTTAGTCCGTTCTAGGAAAGAAGTAATACTGCAGTTCGGCGTCTCTACCCAGGCAACAGGCGTCGTAATGCACGTCGTTTTACCGTCACAATTCTTATAATATTCTTGATGACTATGTCCCTCATATTTCATTCCACAGTCGTTCTCGTCGAACGTGCAACATGAAGAGGGCACGGTCAGTGACGTCATAACTGTTGGACAGCCAGACGATAACGGCTTGGCGTAGGCAAACACAGACTCCATGACAATCGTTTCTCCGGAGGCACATGACCCCTTGATAAAATTGTCGTCGGTGTTACCGTAACAGGCAGAATAACTTTGAAGTTGAGCTCCATAACCATACCCTGAAAAAGAGAATTTCGGCGAATGGTGATTGCATTTTTCAAATCTAATTTACCAAACTAAGTGCAAATCGAATCATAATAACATTTGGTGAACACATTTCACGGAAAAGGTTCTTTGATAAAGAAATTGTACTTTCGATACAAGTACCTAACTTTGAATTTTATGTTAAGCCATTAAGGTACAACTGAACAAATAGTTCGAAACGAATATGTGCCTTTTTCATTTATACCGTTAGATTATGAAATTCAGGAGACGAAAAAGGATTATGGTTATTTAAACTGCTTTATTAACTGTATAACATATTGAACGTTAACGCATATACATATGCATTGGATTTCTGACGATCATGAAAATGTATTGTAAGAATTTTTTAAGAATGATTATTTACCTAATTTATTAACACATATTATAAGGTATCTGTGTATACACTTAAGTTCATGTGGTGTTCAGAATAGAAAATTATTATCAAATCTGCCAGCTGAATAAGAAGCAGTAACCTAAATAATGACCGTCAGAAAGATTATCTTACTGAGTCCTCTGCATGTTCTTGTGGTTCTAGATTTGAAACAGCATCTCATTACTTCCATGATTGTATCAAATACACTGAAGATCGTATTGTACTTTTTCAGAATATATTCCATGAAACTCACAAACATTTGTCATTAGATGTCATGCTAAATGGTTGTGAGAGATGTGATGAAAATGAAAACAAACATATTCTCCAATTATATCCAATTACATTTTAAGTTCTAGAAGATTCAGGACATTTAACTTCAATTTTGAATGAAATTTTATATTTTATTTATTAACACTTTATTTATTTATTTACATTTTATTTTTTCTCAATGTAATTCTTCTGATTTCCAAAAATGGTACATGAATATTAATATTAATATTTCCTATTTGTCTTCATTGTTTATTTCTAAATATTGTTAGTGAGGGGGGCTGGGGTTTAGTAGACCAGTTATACTATTTTATCAAAAATATTGGGAAACAACTACATAAATAAGAATATAAAGCTTTACAACATGTCAATTATATATATCTAACCTGTGTTTAATATGCATAAACTAAACTATTTGATGGGATTGAATTTCCAAACTCATCAGTGGATGGCCTTGTGTGATACAATGGACTTTTTGGCCTGTATCTGTTGGGTGCGGTAATTTAATCCCATCAAATGTTTATACATACAGCTCCATCAACAAATTATTTTTCTCTTCTCTTCATAGTATGTATATATATATAGTATATGTCTTTTTCGGTATCAAAATAAAAGGTTGGAATTTAAACCATTATATTCAATTATAATAAAAATGAGTATTATTAGTTGTTTATCCTAATTTGATTATTAATTTGATAATACCAACTTATTTATATGTGTTTGTATGTGTTCTAATGTCTATGTCTATGCTTGTACCACTGTCTGTTACTATGTTTGGAAAGGGCTTAAATAGGCTATGCCTGCTGCCCAATCCATTTGTCCTTTGACAATAAAATTTATTGAAATTGAAATTAAGAAGCATGCACGATTCTGTCTGAAGGTGATGTCAATAACGGGTAGGTCACAAACTTAAATGAGAACAAAATATGCGGCAAAGACATGATAAGTTGTCAGACCGACTCCAATACATTTCGTGTATGCTGTATAGTAGTGGTGTACTCGCCAGCCTTCACTTTTGTTATTGTTCACAATGAGTGTGACGTTGTTCCTACACTACTACATATTTGTATTTCTTTTTTATATTTTAAAGGTTTTGTAATATATCGCACGTGAGGTCTTTTCTTTGAGCCGTGTACTAGGTACCACATTTTCACCGTAAACCAGGAAGTGATTCACATGTAACCAGGGCAACTACCTGCCATTGACACTCCTTATAACTGCTAGGAAGCTCATTTTAAGTCGTTTATTGGTAATCATAAATTACATTGAAAACAAAACAAATAGAGTCTCTAAATTACTACCATCCGGGCAAACTTGTGCATTCAATTCATATCAAATTGCACCTGATTAAATGCAATGTTTAAATTACAGAACTTAATGCACATAGGTATATAAATTCGTAATACTAGCTTATCAACACTAGCAAACAATTTACCTACTAATCATTAGCTGCAACGATAGGTACTTACCGTTAAACAGTTTTATAAAACGGGAAATCTTACTAAACGTCAGTAACTATATATAATAAATGGTTGTTTGTGATTAATGAACTTAACCAATTAACAGTTTGTACAACAGTTGTATACGAATAAATAATTACCAATTTACAGTGGTATACAAGTATAAAAATCAATTCGTATAATTTACAGTGGTATACAAATCAGTTCTTACCAATTTACAGTTGTAGTAAGAACACCTCATACCAATTAATAGTTGTATTGTTACTTAATGCTTATAAACATATCAATATTTACCAATGAAGAATGGGATGCACGTCACGATGAATCCAACAATCAGGAGCCGATTACATGGTGGCATATCGGAGAAACTGCTAATCCTTACATGTAGGGCAGTGACAAACCAGAAGGCTAGTCTACGTACACACGACCATGCTCACACCCATACTACACACCATAACTACTCCCACTGTCGACTGTGTAGGGTTTTGTTCAGTATATTTAAACGGATATACGATACTTACGGTTAATTGGGGATGTGCACGTACAGCAAGATGTTTTTAATTTTCAGAGCAAAACTAAATGTGCATATACTTTTGAATACACAATCAGTCCCTATTCAGAGTATATGTGGTGGTGCATTGTTGAGTAGGTCTTGGCATCAATATTAAAATCTATAGTATCACCGACATGGAAATTCTGATATGTACAAGTACAAAGCGAGTTAAACGTATAATGGTATTGCGTATATCCTGGTAACAAGTTGGTGTGTAGTGGTTAATAGTCAACTACGACTGATACACAGTCAGTTCAAACAATCTGAAAATGGGTCGATAATTCAATCTTTCAGATCAACACTGATTATTTGTTTTCCTGAACAGTGGGATTAGTCACGGGATTCGGGCAATTAAATATGATGATCCTAGGAACATTATACATGTGTATGTCTATATACCATGCCTATAAGTGCCCTCTTCTAACTATAATAAATAGTTTACATACGTCATATTGTAGTAATGATAAAGTATATGTATATGTTTTGATAATTGCATGTCATTATGTTTTGAAAACTGTTTATACAGAAACTAGAATACTTATTTTCATATTGATAACGAGTCTTTGAAATCAGTAAAGAAGGCATGACAAAATACTGATGATCTATAAAATCTTTTCAGTTTTAGTAATATCTTTACAACGAATACATCGATACGTATCTCTTCTTCAATATTGAATAAACATCACATTTTACAGATAAACGGAAGAAAGGTAACCGCTAATTGCAGATAACCTCATAGAGTAAAATGACAATCATACACTGTAACCAGAGTAGTAAGAAGCCTCCCCAATTGAAAACCATGGGGTTTTAGTGTGTTAAACATCGTGTGGATGTTATAGGCAAACTTTCCTGGATTTGTGCGTACAGGAAAACATTATTTCGAAGTAACTGATTTTATCGCCGAGTTTTGGCGTCATGATGCCAACCCTTTTTTTCGGTCACTTCAATTCATATTGGTGTTAACCGTATCACCTAACAGTTTCGATTTAGTCTTTTAGTATTGATTCCGTAGTTTATTTTTTATTTTACCTTAGGTCAAAGGTACCATGCCGCAAATCTTCGCTCTTTTTTCCTGTTAAATCGGATAACTCGTATTTTTCTTATATAGCAAACGTGATTACCTTTCCGTTGTGGAAGTAAAACGTGTCAAAGATGTACAATATAAAATAAGAATTTCATCTTATTTTCTTATATGCCGTAAAGAATTCGGTATTATACATAATGTTAATATATACAGACACGTACAATGTAAAACGTGGTCGGACAAGCAGGTAGACAGGTAAAAGCTGACAGCCAATCAACCTCTCAATAAAGTGAAAGTATATTTCGAGAATTCTTAGAGCAATGGAATGCGCTTAAGGAGGAAAAGAATCTGTCCACCAGTTACGAGGCTTTTACTTGACGGGTGAGAACTGAATTTTCTAAGAGTAACACGCAGAAAGTTTATTGTGTTAACATTACCTCTGACCCAGTCGAAGATATATTCGTTTGGTTTTGCTCTCGTGACATCTAGTGAATTCGCTTGTAAATAAAAATAACGTTAACATGGCCTTAACCCTGCCTCTGCTGGAATAAGCAGCTGTGGGGAAAAGGTCGCGCAAGGCTTTACTTGACATATATATAAGTAAGCTTTTTAAACCAATATCCTGATAGTATTTATGGAATATTACGACTGCAGTTTTAACCACATTTTCTCCCACTTTCAACCAAGCAGCTTCACATGATGCTATCCCTATGATTTGACGTACGTATACATAATTCGATGTGGTCGGTTGGCGCAGTGGATATCGCACTCGCCATTTACGGCCGGGGTTCGATTCCCCGATTGGACGTGAAAAGGTGTGGGTTTACCTGCCCGACTTCGTCTGTTTTCTTCGGGTACTCCGGTTTCCTCTCACATCAAGACAACCAGCGTGTTAACACCAGGGCCAACAGGAGTGATTAATATAAGTTTTAATGACTTGTTACGTAATTGTTGTAAATTAAATAACCTTAATATATTCTATGATTAGAAAACAAATAAAAATACCGAACTTAAAAACCTAAAATGGTCAGTGTTTACCTCTTTTCTCTCCTCGATTTGTAATTATGTAAGCATGTAACTACTGCAAAAATGTTTCCTTACACGCATCTGTTTATTTCTCGGTTTGTAATTTCGTAAGCGTGTATGTTACCACAGAGTGAATAGCTATATATCACGTGGAACAACGATATTAACAAACAGTCTGGCCAATTTCTATAGACTCATTACAATAGAGACACTGTTATGTGAATAACGTAATGAGTCAGGTATCATCGCGTCGCAATGTATGTAGTCCAATCGATTATTAGATAAATTCACCGACCAGGAAGTTAAAATATATACAATGAAAATCAATATATATACTTCAAATTACAAGCGACACAAGAAATTATGACGCTGATGTTATTCGACAAATATTTATTAAACATTCAAAAGTAATATATATATATATTTATATGTTATACATTCATTATTTGAATCACAGTTATATATAGTGACGTTATAAATCAATACGATAAATATTTCGAAAACTTCATACCGGTACGTAACGTCTTTTTATTGATAAGTGACGAATTATAGCGTATATTGATTGTGTGTTAACTTAATATTGTTATAATGTATAATAAATATTTTATTTGTATAATCAAAAGTCACTTTGAAATCAAAAATAATTCATTAAGAAGTAGATTATGGTTTCTTTCAAAAACAATAACAAATGGAAACAAGAAAGGAAAAATATATTCCTTTTTTAAATCACAAATAGCATATCTAAAAGTATATGATTAACAATAACAAAAAAGAAATATATAAAAAGAAAAATTAAAATGATAACCTCTAAGTAAATACAACATATTTGCATTCGACAACTATAAACAAAACATTCAAGAGAAATATATTTATATATATATATTTATTATCATTTAAAGCAAAATTGTATAGAGTAACTTATTATAAATCTTCTGTCTGCAAAATACATTAAAAACGTATACAAGTAAAGAACTATAGCGAAGATTGAAATATTCTTGACTAATACAATTATAGGGAGTGTTACATGCGTTACGTTTCAATACACATTTGTGAACACTATGCGAACATCACACATGAATTAGCATGATCATAAATAGCAAGCAGATCAGTTTTGTTTAAAAGTGCTCGATTAAATAGGAATTCCCGCCCACCTCCCAATTAAACGCAAGAATATTATATATTGCAGAACATGTGTGACTGACAATATTCCCTGGTAAGACAGATATTAATGGCAGCATGCCATTTTTTCTGTTAAGTGTCATATAATACTTTTAAAAGTGTTACAAGGAAGTTCGTATAGGATATTTCACAACCACTCATAGACCAGGAAGTTTATTAACACATGTATCACAAAACATACTTCTGTCTGTGATACAAAAGATTTTGGCACTGAATTGTCCAACATGGGGAACTAAAGCCAAATATACAAGACACAACACAATTACGACCGATACTTCTAATCTGAAACCTTCGGAACAAATAGTGTATAAGATATATTGTGTTTATTACTATGACGCACCTAAATGAATCAAATTTTCGATGGGCCGTAACAAACCAAAAGACATATTTATCAATTTGATATATCACAGAAACAAAAACGACGAAGAAAATTAGCCAATGACTAGAAACCTAGATCGGCGTGAACGGACACCACACCGAATGCCTCCATATATGATGATTGCAGTCATATATCATTTACAAAAAATAGAAACAATTAAAAACATAATGCTAGCTATTTTATAGCAAACATGTTTATCGTTTTTAAACTTTGGTTTTGACACGTGTCTCATTATGTAGCATAACGTCTCTAACAATAATTGATATCGAACTATACATTTGTGCTTTCAAAGCAAAATTTACCATTGTTTCTATACGCCGGAGTACGAAGGTCCAGTGTTTGTACTAGGTCACTGTAACCACGTCTATAGTTACAGATGTAGACTTTATAGATGTCCTAAGATCATCGATCTGTGTAACCTCAAACGCATCATTTTTCTTCTTTTTGTCACCTTTGTGCTTCCTTTTCTTCTTGTGTTTATGTTTACCTGTCTTTGTACCTTTTTGTGATTCTGCCTTTCCCCCTTTCCCCTCAGAAATTGACGTTTGGGTAATTGGAGAAAGTTTCTGCCTTCCATTTAAAGCAGGAAGAGGGAGAGAACTCATAAATTGGGACACAGGGGCCACTTGAGATAATACCGGTTTCTCAAAGGAGGCAAATAGAGCACATTCATCCGATTCAGGAGGGCTCGTTTCTGTATCGGGATGTATAGCAGACTGGAATGAAAACAAATGCATATATTTTCGAAAGCAGTTGTAACAAATACATGAATAAATGCATAGAAAATGTATGGAGTATTGTCATTGGCTTTTCTACAGAACGGGTTTAATAAAGAACGGATATATAATAATTTATATATAATGCATAGTTATAAATCTTGGCAAATCGATCATCGTACCATTGATGCTACAATTTAATGACAACATTGTCTGGCAACATTCTTCCTCTGCATCGGGCTTGCATAACATGAAAAGTTTGATGACCGAATCGTGAATGAGCTACTTAATAAACAGGCAGGCATAATATGAGTGGGTGGTGGTCTCCTTGTAAGAAGATTGAAAGATTTGTCTCACAGGAAACAAGCATGTTCTACATAATTTGCGAGTGCTTATTATCTCAAACAACCAATGTTTACAAACATCGATACTTACCTTGCACTTTTTGAAATACAGGTCCTTTATTCTATTCTTGCAGAGGACCAATACGATAAGAATCACAAAGAGTACCACCAGAACGACAAGAGGGATGACCCAGAGAGCTTGAAAAGAAACAGGATAGAAATCATTAATTTTGACGTCTAACTTTAGAGGATTTGTTAAAAGCAACCAATGATGCTATCTGAACAAATAGAAAGCGCTTGAAAATATCCATTTTTTCTTAAAGTGTTTTTTTGCACAACTGCTATACGTTTTGTAACACTTGGCCATTTTCAATTGATTGGGTCTCACTGTGTAATTAGTCTACGTGGAATGACATGAAGAAACTTTGTGATGTCATACTTGAATTGGGATGTCATATTTTACATAATATATAACGCATTATCAGCGGATTCTTTGGCACCAACTTCTGACAGCAGACTGTATTACGTACGCCGTCATCCTTCTGTAAAACATCTGAAGTTCGGGTCGGAGAAAACTTTCCAAAATATGTTCATCAAACCATGCGATTGGTAGCAGAAAAGATGGGTTCTTTGCAATTTTGATATCTTATGGGAGAAACGAGATATGTTGAAGTCATATCGAAACTCAAATTTTCCTTTTCAATAGACAATTCTTAAATTGATTTAATTCTACAATACAATCACATGCGTCGTTGATATTTAGCAGAAACAAATTTTAACATTCCAATAAATTAGAGAGTTGAACCATGTCAGAATAGAACTTACGTATTCCTCCTTCATCTACTGGTAATTGTGTTGGTGCTGGGGCTAGAACATTTGGTGTTAGTCCCAACGAAAGCGTTGTTTTGATGTTATTGTGAGAGGATGTTATTGTTCCGGTGTTATTGTCAGTGGTGTTGCCAGTGGATACTGTTGTTGTATCGGTAGTATCGTCCGTGGATGTTGTTATGTCAGTGGTGTTGCCAGTGGATACTGTTGTTGTATCGGTAGTATTGTCCGTGGATGTTGTTATGTCAGTGGTGTTGCCAGTGGATACTGTTGAGGTATCGGTAGTATTGTCCGTAGACACTGTGGTTGTATCGGTAGTTTTGTCCGTGGTTGTTGTTGTATTAGAACAAGCAGGCAGATCTTCAGCCGGTACCTTTCCTTCCCCTACAGATGTTCCACACGCTAACGTCACAGTATCATCACCATGGTCGCCTGTATTATATATTAATCTTGAATCAGTAACATATACAGTTAAAGTACTTTTAAAAAGTACATAAAAAGGAAATGCATGTTGGTAGAAATTATAAAAGGTTGTCAAACAGAATATACCCGTTTTTACCGAAGATGTTAACAGTTGCCAATAATTTTAATTAACGCTATAGAAATGAAATCTTCAAGTTTTTAATAAGACACTATGAAAATATTAATCAACCTTAATCAAAGTATACGTACTTCCAATCTGGAGAAGAAAATACCCAGAGTCCGTATTCAAAGTGTTGTTTACTTGTATTTCGAGATAATGAGTATTGTTTCCGATATTCAGGTCGTAGGGAAGGTAGTTGGTGTTCGAATCACACATTAAAACTTGTGTGTTGGTTCCGTCTGTTATGGTCAGCGATTGTCCACAAATTCCCCCGTTTTCCGTAAAATTTAAATTAAGGGCTCGTATTTTGAGACTCGTGGCACACGATGCTGATACAGAACATTTGTATGACGAGTTTGCTGGCAAAGTGCCAGTGTCGTTGCCAGACTCATACCCAGGATTCAGCAGTAGGGCAGTAGTGGTGTTGACACTTCCGTCATCACTTACGTCCTTCACATCATTTTCTGAAAAGGAGATACACGTAAATCTTACCGACTTTAAATGCCCGAAGCGCTAAAACATCAATACTATTGATTGTTAACATAGGGTTTCCTTTGTAACGCCAAATAAGAATTCATGGACAGAATATAATGAAAAATAAAACGTTGGTTAAGATCCTTTGTATCAACTAAAGTCTAGTAACATCTTTTGATTTTTGCGCTTGATATTTATTAATAAATAATAATAATAATTCGGGGTTCTTTTTTACCGTTTTATCACAACCTAGTTCGTAGGTCGTCTCAAAGCGGTTCACACATTATTATCCGTGGTTATAGGGCCTTTGCAACCAGCCAATATCTTTCTCAACTCCATGGGGAGCATACAGCCGGAGCTGCCATTTCAGCGCTCAAAGCTAGCATTTAACAATTCTAGCACTGCCCAACCACATACTCATTTACAGCTGAGTCGACTGAAACAAGTGGAGTAAAGTATCTTGCCCAAAGATACAACACAGTGACGTGCCGTGAATCGAACCTGCAACCCGTCCGTCACGAGCCCGGCGTCCTACCACTAGACTACCGTTTATTGAGCTTATCAACCTATCTAATGATGGTTAAAAAATGTCGTTGTATTGTAAATTTCAGTATAGTCGAAATATATCTATGTGAAATATATCTTTGTGAAATATATCTATGTGAACTAATATGAAACTGAATGCCACATTATTTCTTAAAAACTAAAGAGAATAGCTGAACAATCAGATCTTTCCAAACACACTCCTATATCTGCACAAAAACGATAACTAGTTTAATGAGTTAAATAAGTTGTAGTCTGATTCAAGCCGAGTTCGAACATTTTTGTTTTATCATGAGTTGAGTTGAAATCGGTCTGAGTCGATCTCCAACGTTATTGGTATGAGATATGGTTATAACATTAATAAGAATACATTGTAAATATGAAATAATCCAAAATTTGCTTTATAATCACAAATAACTACATACACACCTGATATACAGTAAAAGTAGACCGCCATATAATTTGTCCGAGCGATATATATCGAGGAGTTACAGGGCGTGTTGGCCCAGGCAACGGGCGTCCATGAACACGTGGTTCGGCCATGACAGTTCTCAAAATAAGTATTCTTGTTGAAGCCATCGTACTCAAATCCACAGTCGCCAGTATCGTACTGACAGCATGACTCCGGGGTAGTCGCTGCACTGGTCATAACTTGGGGACAATTTGATGACAAAGGTTTCGCGTAGGCATACACGGAATCCATCACGATCCTCTCGTCATCGCCGGGACAGGAAGCCTTAATGAAATTGTCTGTAGTGATCCCATAGCAGGCGGAGTATGTGTGACGATACAGGCCCAACACACCTTGTGACCAGTAACAAAAAGACGAAGAAATTTGTTCATTTCAAGGATTTGAAAAAAAAAAGTTTCGCTAAGATATATCAATACGAACATTATATGCTTATTTCATATAAATAATGTCTTCATATATATTTTCCAAAGTACACTTCATGTTCTCACTGTCTTTCGTGTATTTTGTATAATGATTAACGACAGGGAAATGTTACACTTATTTTGATTGTACGCTGTAAAATATTTTATGATATCAGCATCAATGTACGACTTTAGGAGAGTAGTGTTTACCTTTAGGATAAAGTTAAAAACGTCCAATCGGTTGTCTCACATTTCTATTAATCTCTGGCAACTGTAGTTAATTAATATATCAAATCATATGAAATGTTAAGCTTAGTTTGCTTAGCGTGGTTAAAAACAGAAACAATTGAGAATTTGAAGGGTTACAATATAAATAAGTTACAATATTATTTCCTTTAATTTCGAAAAAAACTAAATACAAAAATTAAGGTATTCCTTTTTAACCATTACACCATTGAGTAATTCAAATCGGGATGCCAGGCACCTAGCATATTGGAATATTTAAAAATATTCGTATTTTTGAAGCAAAACTATTAAGAAATCATCTAGATATCTCAAAAAATATTTTGTAAAACTTACAATATTATAGATGTTGTTTATTTTTGGACATTCAAAAAAATATTTATCTTCTTAATACCGAAGAACAAGTGTTGCCTGGGTAGCAGCAACCTTTGGACCCATTGCTTAACCTTTTACGTTGTTTATAATGAATATTATCATGAAACATATTGATTCCAAAATAATTTTCAATGCTTAAACGATGAACTGTTTATCATTCCTAGACATGATTATAGGGAATATTGGTATACAGACTGATCAAAAGGTACCAAGTCTACAATCCCTCTTGAAATGTCTTTCCATTTTGAGTGCTGTTGAAATAAATTTACTTTTGTGTATCTTAAAATAACTCGCACGATTTTCAAAGTCTGCAAGATATTCAATTTCCTTATCTTTAAAATTTCCGTTTTACTCTTTACAACACTCGAAATAATTCTATGTCAGAAGCGATTTCTTTTTAGAACTCTTGTCATAATAATCCTAAGCATCCATTACAACAACCATACCACCTTCTTCTGCCTCCTTTATTACGATGGATTTATCACTCATTAATTATTGTGAAATTTTATGTTATTTATACGATAAATAATTCGTAGTCTAATCTTATTAAATTGATATGTATTTAGATATGATATTGATTTCTCACATATTGTGGCGGATTCCATTTGAAATGATTTTTGACTAACAAGATTTAAGATTTATTTATTCACTCATGACACACAAAGTGACCAACAAAAGGTCAACATCTTAATACATCTCAGTTACAGTGGGTCATCAATGTCCGCCGGAAGAAGCCCAAGAACTGAGGCAGAAAGCTAACGGTCACTTGATGTGGTTTCTAACTATTTCCCCCTGAGGTTGATAGTGAGTACATAAAACCTATATAATATTCAGCGTGAAATAATGATCACATCTTAACTGTTTACCAATGATTGATTTAATCTTTATTGAAAAAAGCAATAACATTATGACATACAATTCATACACAATGTTTCAATCCAATGTCTTTGAAGATAATGTTTGAAAACAAATGCATTTCGCCAAGTATAACATTTCCTCTTTTGAAAACATGAATGTAAACCAAGTATATCATTTTATGTGTAAAAGAATAATAAGATATCAAGCCTAAAATATATCGTCCTTAGAAAATTATTAAATACAAAGCATAACATATTAATTCTATGCTGAACAGAATAATTAAATACCAAGCCTTTGCATATTTCTTAATGAAATACACTGATAATTTTCTGGGTTTGATGATAAAAAAAACCCAAAGTGACGTTTAGCGTGTAGTGTGAATATTTTGATATTTCTTACCAGAGCGTAGCACCAAACGAATGAAATGTATTTCTTGTTCACAAGTAAACCAAGAATATTCTATTAACATTTTTTGTTGAAAATTCTTGGACTATCATGGAAAATGGTCAGTCTCTCATCACAAATGGTGTATTGTACCTTAACAATAAAACAAAACTAGGCCACTATGAGGTCAGTATTTACAATGCCTATTACTGGTCATTCTATACAATAAATCCTGCGCTCTGCTCTCAATATCCGTCTCGGGTTCGCTTTTCACATGTTAGGCTGTGTGTTGAGATTTAATTGAGCCCTTAATAAAGATACTATCTGTAATATCATGACGTAATATGCGAAGTCGTATCGATTTCATAATCAGCTTCACTGTTTATATGACTGTACCAGATCGTCTGATATGTTCATATTTTCATGAATACACTATTTTGGCATGACATTATAATATTGATATATATATATATATATACGCAATAGCACCGTACCGTTTTTTGTTTCAAATTTCTGCTCGATTTACCGTGTACTCAACAGAAAATGTCTAAGCTTCGGCTACAATTCATGATGTGTCCGAGGTCTCACTTTGAAAATAGGTTACTTATACTTTTTCAGATTTTGATTTGACTATATTATCAAATCACAGTATCAGCCCTAACAGGTATAGTTGGGCGGAATCTCCTGATCCCATTCTCCCCATTAGTGTTAAGGTCTCTAGTAGTTAAAGACGTTAGTCATTCCACATTACAGCACAAATACAGGATTACTATTAAACCTTACATTAGTTGATATATCTAGTTTGTGTATACTTAGATTTGTCTTATATTTGATAAACGTATAAAGAGGTATACTCACCGCTGATGCTGGCCACACATACCACTATGTAAACACCCGTCCTATCCATTGACAATTGTACTTTAAACGTTTACTCAGTATTCGTATCCGTAAGCTGTTCACGTGTGAGATACCATCTCTGCTGTCAGTACATGGTGTATTGCATACCAAGACGTTCTGATCTCATACTCGGGTCTTCCCGTGTATATATATGACTGCAGCAGATCGTTTTTAGTGAGGTCATTGTATCATGACTGCACAATCTCGTCATGATATTACAATATCTATTGTTCGTAAACCAGTACTTAATATTTGGTGAATGGTATTGTGTTACGTAATCACAGAGGCAGAGGTAAAATATATATTATAACATATTTCGTCATGAAATAATTATTTTCGAGTAAATTCACAATAAGACAATTGTGAAGAAATACATTTCATTACATTCAAAGAAGGAATAAAGCTGTTGATTTCATGAACTGTCTTTTGAAACATGTCATTTTTGTGTACTCACAAAATTTTCGTTTAATATCGAGTAATGTTACACGCTTGCGATAACCATGAACTATTGGAAGAAAGACCATATGCGTTCGTGTATTATTTTCCAACAGACCAACGCTCTTCCAAAAACCTCTCCCGCAAATGTACCCGTACAAGTATTTGAAGATTGGCTATCGGACAGAAAAAAAATCTTCTTAAAACCTGTCAGGCTCACGGTCAGAATTTTCATAAAGTTACCACGAAGGCGACTTGAAATAATGTTTGTAACTCTGCCAAATGTTGATTAAATGTGTTGACGAGCGATGCCTCTAGATTGGTGGATTCGATTGATTGAAATAAACATCTGGCATAAAGCATGACGTTAAAGTTTATCGTTTATCGACTGTCGACCAAAGGGCGACTGCCAATGAAAAATCCTTCCCAAATATATCTAGGTTCCATACACAAAATATGCTCAGAGGGCCAGAATAAATAAAAACGAGCAGCTTATTATGAAATAAAGACATATAGGCATCACGCAGACATAAATCAGCACAGCTTAATTTAAATTATAAGATTATTTATGCGAACTGTGTAGACACGAAAACGACTAGCATTACATTTTACTGGGTATAATAGATATAATTAACATACGTTTGTATATTATGGTAGAATATATAACTCGGGATTTGAAAATGTTGGAAAAATAATCAACTCGAGCCGCAACTGGAAGAATGAAAAATAACCGGAAAATCCTGGAACTGATGTCTGTTGCAATTATCTCTTTGTCGGTGCTTCAAGACTTTTTTATTTCAGTTTTTGCCATAGGCACAAAAAGCAAAAACGGGATATTTTCTGAAGATCCTTTTTGTTATCAACCCGGTTCTTTTAATATTTCTACTGGGAGATATCTTCAAAAAGAACCGGCTTTAAACCAATCGGTGAACGTGTACATTTATTTTTCGTCATCTAAAATTTCATACGCTTTTGATTTCCATTTGTTGAGAATATAAACGAAATGTTTAACATTTTTGAAAGTCTGGTTATAGTCTTTACATTATTCAAACGATGGAAAATGCATTTATGTCGAAATCAACAATAATTTTCCAGACAACCAACCGAAGTGCAACGCCCTTTTTCAGCAACGTATTACTTTTTCCACAACGCGTGCCGATTTATAACTAGTTACAGGCAGAAGCTGTTTAATTTTATTTGGCATCAGTTACAAAATTTGAAATTCAATCCGGTGTTTCAGGATGGAACAGTAATTGAGACAACATGACAATCTCAGTTACATCAAAGTATTACAATATTTTCTTCTTTTAATTTTATTTTTGCAACTAGCATCTCTATACATTTTCTTAGACTAATCGTCAAATATGTAATATGCATTTTTTTCTCTAGCAATTACCCAACAGTTTTTTCCCAGTTGTTATGTCGGTCTTAATATCATTAGAGTTTGTGTTTTATTGTTATTCCTCGACTTGCCAACTTTAAAAAGGGTTTAACTTATCGCATTCTGAAAGCAATATTCTGAATCAGTAAATATCATAGATCAACAAAAACTACGCTCTTTTAAGGCTTTGTCTTTTCATATTATTTCAAACAAAAAACAATTTACTTAGGCAGGTGTGAAGATTTTCCTATATCAAAAGTTAAGATCTCAATATGACACTACAATAGATACCGTATATGAAAAATCCATCATAGCAGAATGAGAAATATTGGCGACGTTTAATTTGGCTGTTTGAAACTAAGAAAATTTATTTTGGCGATCTCGATATAGATGTTGGCTGCCATTAAATTTCCTCTTATACAGTATATCTCAGCTGCTGTTATATAAATTGGCATTAAATTTTATAGGAATATCATGGGAAGGTAGTGTCTCCATCCTATAAAAGGTCACTGTGACCTCAACTGACCTTGATTACTAACATTGTGTTTTCCAGAGCATACATGTATCTTAGCTGCTGTTTCAGGAATGGGCATCAAACTTTTTATACAGGTACATCTTGAGAAGGTGGTGTGTCGCATCATGAAACAGGGTCATTGTAGTCTAAATTGTCAACTCATGTACTAAAATAATGGTTTTCAGTACTTTGTTTATAGCAGAGATATGGGAGATATACTTTATATTTAAAGTCAGATTGTTAAAGTAAGGGATTCTATATTGCTATTATGGCCTTGACATCAACAGACAACGGTAGATCGGGGGCGGCGGCATACTGAGGCTTAATATTCAAGTTTGGAGATTGTGAAAATATCCACCCTATAATAATATAGTTTACCAATTCTTTTCATACAAGTCAAAGGGATCTTCGTTTCTGGTTTCTATGTCAAAGAATGGTAACGGTTGCAATCTTACTATATGTTTGCCGAATATGAAAAGGCATTTAATAAATTAATGCAAATACGATTGCTTGTGGGCCTGTGCCTGATCCATTGGGACTAATAACATGTTAAAAGTAGAAACACCATTGCTATATAATTGCTGGGCATGAAGGGTGTACACATATGCTACCACAATGGTATCAAGGTTCAGCCCCCGACCCTGGGGATTTAGTACAGCGTCATAAAACTGAAATAGTTGATATTCTAACCCTTAGACCGTACATGGCCATACTGCAGTCCTTTAAAGAGAGAAAGAGAGGTATTACTATTTAAACCCTTTTTTCTGACAATTATATACAATTTCAATTCACTTGGATATATATATATTTGGTGACAATATAACATAATTGACAAAGGAAAACATAAATATTGTCTATACATTTGTTTTCATTGTTAAATTGATTTATTCATTTGGTTGCTGTTACAGACCAGGAGAATATCATATTATTTTATGTTTTGGTTAGCTTGTAAACAACATAATGAACATAATAATCAAAAAGTGAACGGCAAAATGAAAACTTGGAGGATACAGATTTTACCACAGATTTTACCAGTGTATGGTAATTTTCCTGGTATGCAGTATTTACAATATATGATGCACATTACAAACATTTGTTTCAATATTCTTTTTACCATTCATGACTCTTAAGCATGAGTTAGTCACTCTTTTCACCATAAACAAAATAAACGAGTAAATGAACAACAGCCTCACCAAATTTTACTGAGACGTACTCCATAAGGCCCAGTACTAAGACACACAAAACATGGGTTTAACATTTGTTTAATTGGGTATGCATATATTTTGAAGGTAGATATAAGAGTAGACGTTCTCTCATTTAATAACCACAATCAAACATACACTAAATGTATAAAGAAGTCCTAGGTAGTTTACCTAGAAAACTTGTCTATACTTAGTATTTCCACTGTGAAGGACAAAATTAACATTTGGGAAAAAGTCTGAGCATACAAAACCCATTTTCAATAATGATCTTACTTGGATTCAATTTCAGTTTATGACGTCTTGTTAATACAGTATATAAATATAAATTAACTTTTACATTTATTCATTGAATTGTCAGTGTTGATACATTTGTAAGGGCATCAGTAGTAATGTCACATATAAATAACTGACAGCAATGTTACAATTTGTGTAACTGCAGGTATTGGTAGCTATAGTCACAATATTCCATTGTAAGACGAGTACATAATACTACTGCTGTATAACAAGGCACGATTCACTGAGATTGATATACAATTGTTCTGGTATGCAGCCTTGAAAAGAAAGGATAAACTTATTCCCTTCAGTCTCCTTACAAAGTACAATATACTGAACTTGGTCACATATTACAGTTCTGACCAACTATATTGGACATTAGTTATTGCACTGTAGTTGAACTCCACTACATCAGAAAACATACATATTTATAATAATATTATGAAATACCACCTGTTGTCCACTGTGGGATGGAATACCTGTCTCACTGTCTGTTAAGCTATAACCCTCACCGACTAAAACTTGTCTGTTCAATATACTTGCTGGGATGTCTGAATTATACCATTAACAGTGACTTCTGCATATTATTTGCCACCAATTCCACAACAATTTTTGGAATATGATGCAACTGTGTATTTGTTTTTGTCCATACTTCGGGTAGCTTTTCCAGTCTGATAGTGCCCAAAAGGCCTCAATTATCCGCCAAATTCAACAATTGAAGACACTATTTAAGCTGACTTGTGTCCGATCAGGTTCCCGGTCACCAATCTTTATCAAGCTCTGCTTATCCTTGCTGTAAGGTTTCGGTCAGCCCATCTGTGCCTTGGTAGGCTCTATATGGTATAGGTTCACTTTCTGATCCCCTCCCACAGCCAGTACTGGGTAGGTGTAGTGCCAACTCATCCCATAGGCCACTTGTTGGCTCGTACTCAAGGGAACCTGCAACAGATCCAGTACCAATGCAATCATACCTGTTAATGGTTGTTTGTGCGTTTTGTTTGTTTAAGATTTGTCCAGTATTTTAATTGATGTCAAAACTAGAAATCAGAGTGTTGTTATTCTTAAGAGTCTTGGCATAATGTTAACAGTGAATACTACTACAGCTTAATGAGAACCTGTGAACTTTCACCTGTTTATCGGAGAAAATTGAAGGGGAATTTATATAGCTTCAATTTGACCATTGACATGTTTGCTTCTTGTTAATTTAATGTGTGTATATAATACCACAAAATTGATTTTAATATCAACGAACAATTGTTTGTAAAATTGGTCCAAAAAGACACTTTTGCGATTTATTGTTTTTCCAAGTGTTTTTTTTTAGTAAAACATGGCTTCTTTTAAGTACACTTTCAAAATGTCATCAAAGATGGCAGATTGTTTTGCTGTGCTTTTGTTTCACAGACATTCCAAATCTAATAAAGAAGATAAAAATTCAACCAGCCCATTTTGTTCATTTGAAATATGAAAAATAAAAAAGTGAATTATTTAAAAGAAAGAACATTTGTATATGGACAAGCCTGTTACAAAGAACTTTGACCTTCAGGCATAGAATGTTTCTGTATGTAGTTGTAAAAACTTTCAGGATGTTCATTACTTAAGAAAAATACACATTTGCAAAACTTCAACCAAGAAATCATGTGACCTTGACTTTTGACCTGCAGCATATACATGCAGACTTTGTGGTGACATTTAAATATGGCATGTAATATATCATCCCAGTCATAATTTGCAATAAATGAATGTTTTGAAAACCAAATTGAAGCAACTGATTTTGTAATTTAAACCGTTAGGTCCTGCTGTTTTTCTATACCTGATGGTGCCTTGTGCTAAACACCTTGATCTGTCGTCCTGGTCGTCCTGTGGTGGCCAAAAGTATGGGTGTGGACTTTGCCCACCGAATGTCCCGTGCCCCTTCAGGGTGGGCTTGACGTCTTTCCTGCGGCTGACTATCACAAAATTATATGCTTTAATGAATAATTATGAAAACATTATCATTTGTGAAAAGGAATGATATAACATTGATTTTAGGCTAAAACCCTTAAAACTGACACAAATTTTTCCACTCCAATGTATTGTGTTTTAGACAGATAATTACACTCATTATATGACCAACTGCCATTTGACATGACATGTCAGATTAGTTCATCATTTTGGTTATCTGTTACTAAGGTTATTGATAGATAGCAATGCAACTGGACCACCAGAGAATGGGACCGATCCGCATGACAAAAAAACAACAACAAGTTTTTGAAACACAGAAGTACCTAGATCTTGATAGATAGAAGATAAGCCACTCTGTACCAGCCACCGCACAAATGACATCGTCGTCTAGCCTGCTCCAGTCGGCACTCATCAGTGGAGACTGGCAACAATCCAGAGACATGATCTGGAGTTGTAGGTCCATACTAAATATCTTTATGATGCCATCTTTCTGTGCCACCATCACCTACAATGAATTGAAATAGCGTATAGAGAAATAGTCATTGTTTTCTTCCTGACAATTACATTGTACTGATTACCTGCTCCTCTATTGTGTTACAAATGAAAATCTGACTTATTACTGCCAATATATTACAACCTACGTGTAGAAAAAGAGAGGTAAAGAGATAATTATGTACCAGTGGTGCTACAACACTGCAAAAAAAATACAGTTCTATATATACTACACAAATATCAATGATGAATTAATTGCAAGTTTCACTTTCCACAGACTTTTGTCCATGCAAAAGTCTGGTCCAATTGTAATTATGTTTTTACGATTTCAAGTCATTGCTTGCTGAAAAATTGTTATCATTTCTCATTGGCTGATAGAATCACCCATAAAATATGTCTGAAAACGTAGTTTGAAGAAGCAGTACCAGCTTGTCTACTGAAAAGAGAATTCAATTTTCAACTGAAAGAGCTACAGTTGGCTATACAGAAATATATCACTGTGTACAATAAAGACATCCTGTAGTTGAATTACTGATAGGGTATGAAAATTCATTTCCCTATAGAAGTTGCCATTTTGGTTAAGAGCCCTTTACTGGTTACAAATATGAACAAGAGGCCCATGGGCCTTAACGGTCACCTGAGTCTACAGTATTTATTTTTGTTGTTGAAATATGTACNAGACTCATGCACTGAAAAAATCTCAAAGAGTGAGAGTTTGGGGAAAGTGAGATTAAAATTGAATATTTTAGTGTAAAAGGATTGCAGTCGTACAAAATCATAGGGCCACTATGACCCCTGCTTCAAAAAACAGGGGACAGGGAATTTTGCAATATTGGAGATGGGGAAGGGGATAGGGGCATGCCTTAACAAATAGTGATATCACATATGTATGCTGTTTATGGTCTCACATCTGACATATGATCTATTACATTGATACTTGAATAATTTTGTTGATGTTTTGTACATGTAAAGACTGGATAATAACTTTTGATTTTTTTTCATTTTGTCTGACACTTTTGTAATTCAAATTCATTTTTTGGAATTTCTTGATATTCTTTTAAAAGATAACCATCTGTTTTGATATTGCCATACACTTTATCCATTTCAAGATCCCAAAAAATTGAGAACCTCATTGTATATTGTGTAAACATTTGTACAGAGTAAGTAACATAACTCTTTTAGTCTAATTTGTCACTTTAATATCAAAGGCAACTTCATATGGTTCCAATTTCATGATGGTGGGCTAATCCACAATGATGCAGTGCTGATCATGAGAAAACACAGCAAGAAACTATCAATTACACTGTACAGATCTGCCAATCTTTGAGATTCAAAAATCGTAATCAAAACTTGGGTAAAAAACATTTAGCATTATTGACAAAAAAAATCAGGTTTGAGTCATGTTTCACAAAGAGAGCATGTATATTTTGGAGAAACCCTAAGATACTTCGTTCATAAAATGACCATACCTTGCCTGGTTCTCTTTCATGAATACACACAGACATTCCTGGAGCACCGAGCTGGAAGCTGGCATTGAGTTCATCCCCGACCCACAGCCTACAGGTCAAGTCATCACCAGTCGAGGCCAGAGTCTCTCCACTCTGGGGGTTGTAGGCCACAGAGTTGATAAAGTCAGTGTGGCCCTCTAGCAACTGGAAATAAATGGATATATGCTACTAAGAAAGCATCAAAGTTACTACAGTTTTATCTCCTTGTTGCTTGTCAAACTTTGTTCCAAATCAAGTCGAAGTTTAATCTAAATATATATATGTACCATGCTATTATGAAGTCATTGTCAGTTTAAGACCTACCTTTAGTTCACCTAATGGGCTCAAATAATGTCCATAGATAAAAGTTTAACACATTCATGTATCATCTGTTTCTTTTATCATCTGAAATGAAAAGTTGTAAATGTTTCCTACCCACTGCCTGAAAAGGACCAGATATTTGGAAACACAGCTTCTCTTGCCACATTTTGCCAATGGAAGCTCAACACCAATTTTTTTCCAAATGGCATACATGTATTTAAGAAGCAGTTTTCTAAAGATGTACATGTACCACTACACAGCTCTGTCAGTCTGGTCCCAGGAGGAAACATTGTTCAGTTATATACTTTATTCCATATAATGTACACTTTCATCTCCTCTATTGAGCAGGGATGTTTTCAAAATGTTAACATATTAAAGCTCTTATTATTCTGTAATGGACTAGTGAGGCCAACTGGCTATATGACATTTGGTCATTCTCTGGAAAGACCTTGTGGCAAAAAATTACCAAAAACTTTCATACTTTATGCCTTGAGTTGAATCTCAAATCTGGATGTAGAAAATTCCTATCCAGTTCTGTTGTACTTAAAAACAAACCTGTGGCTGTGAGACAATAGTAGTCGTCCCAACTAATGGTTTACTTGGCTGCAACTAAATTAATACAATCTGACCATGTTCTCAAACTGGGATTTAAACAATATCTTCACTTTTAAGAGTCAGATACAACCATCTCAACATTTTAGAACTAGAGATATGATAATGAGACTGAAGACGGCAGTTATGATCAAGACAAAGCATGTTAATACCAGTCATCTTCCCTATCAATGTTTAAACAAAATAGCCGGAGAAAGTCTGGTGTATGACAACATTTAAATACCTCTAGAGTGTCTTTCCCACGTAAATCTGACTCAAAAAGTTGAATTCTGTTGTTGGATCCAGCAACAGCAAATCTGAAAGTTAATTTAAAAAGACATTACAGATGTTAAAATCAAGAAATAGGAAAAACAATGTATACAATTTAAAAATTAAATAATATTATAAAATTAGTGTTTGCTTTTAAAACAACATTAAGTGGTAATAGTTTCATCATGGTCCTTTAATGAGCCAGATGAATATTTATTAGAAATGTTGTCTACAAGAAAAAGCATACTGATACATTGCTCTTTTACTGGTGTGCAAGTTGAAGTTTGTAAATTATATATCATACTCTAGTTTTGTCTGTTTCTTATAATACACATTTGCATAAAGCCACATGCACTAATTAATGTAAGAAATAATTTTGACACAGAACAGACTCAGGCCTCAGTACACATAGACACCCAATACATGGCACAAATTTTGATTCAAGCCAGCCAATGTCACTACGTTTGTGACTTAGATTGTAAATAGTTTACAACCATACTACCTTACCTCCACTACCATTGCATGTTAGGGTTGAAGAATAAATTTATTACAAAGTTTAACTTTAATTGGAATAGACTTCTTGCCTTAAACAGTCTGCCACTTCCCGAGACTGATACGATGTTTCTGGGCTCCATGATATAGCGGTCACTCTACACCCATTTTGAAAATCCCGCACTTGTTTAAACACGAATTGATCACCATCCTCAGCTTCATCCTGAAATATCAAAAAAAATGTAGGAACTAGGAAATAAAGGAAACCAAATGATAGAAGACCCTGGTGATACGCTTTGGAAGATTAGAATTCTACAATGTTGTAATGTGTTCTGGCTGTAGTTTCACGAATGTTCCTTATCATAGACATCATCTTATAATTTTAAGAGACCGAATATTCAAATAAACTGACAACAATAATAGACAGATTTATATATATTCTATATTAGTTTCCTTTTTTGATGATAAACACATTACAGTCTCCTTTTAATGTACATTGATTAGACATAGACATCATCTTATAATTTTAAGAGACCGAATATTCAAATAAACTGACAACAATAATAGACAGATTTATATATTCTATATTAGTTTCCTTTTTTGATGATAAACACATTACAGTCTACTTTTAATGTACATTGTATTTATTTACTCCTGAGATCAGTAAATAAACAGATTATCAATTATGGAATTTGCTTATTGGAAAATTCTGATTATTCAAACCAAGTGATTTTTTATTAGAATTGATCACTGGCCCATCACTAATATGAATGTGGTGTTTAACAGGTAGGGCACAACCGTGCATATGGGTACTGATCCTGCATTTGGGTAATGGTTACCCATTTGAGTAACAATTTTATGAAATGGGGAATATAGTGAGAAAACCCCACACAGATCTTGGATCAAAAAAGGGTGTTATACTTTCACCTAAATCCTATAACACAATGAAGTACAATTCTGAAGTCTGACTTTTACCTTAGATTTAGACAACTAAATTCACATGAACCCGAGCTTTTTGTTCATAATGTAAAAACCCTTTCAGCACCGGTACTGTAGGCCTTAATGGACTCATCCAGAATTTTCCAAGAACAATCCCTCAGTGGTACTCTCTCCCTCCTAACTTGGCATCAAGTGCTACACTCTCTTCCTTTATACTAATTAACCCCACCTTCCAGTCTGCTCACACACATGTTACTTGCTTAATCTTCATCTTGTGGAAGTTTCACTTACCACTACTTGGGGTCTCACTTAAAAGCGTCTTCAACCGACAACAAGCGTCTTCAAGTGACAACAAGCGTCGCCAGACAAAATCTTCAAAAATACTGAATAAAGTAAGCGACATCAGAAGCTATGTTGTTGATATGACAATAATACACCTCTGTACCAATTTTCAATTTAATATTTGAAAAATTGACCGAGTAATGATGAATTGAATTTTTACGATCGCAGCGTAGCACATGTGTGTAAAGTGAAGAAAGCATCGCCAGATAATATCGTTAAAATTACTCGCTAAAGTAAGCGACATCGGAGGATATGTTATTAGTTTGACTTTTATTGATATATATTCCAAATTTCAGCCCGATATTTGAAAAAATGATCGAGTTATGATTAATTTAATATTATGATCGGCGATTTTACGAAGCTATACGCCGTGCCACATATGTGTACATGTACAAGTACGTAGGGTATACGTAGGGCTTCGCATAGGTGAACACAGTTAGACCGGATTATAGTGTAGAACTCTCAGCCACACTCTTGAAACAAGCATGTTACCAGACCCTACGGACGTGGACGTGGTTCTACTCAGGGTCCGTTATATGTTCGTGTGACTGATCGATTTAATGTTGGTGTTTAAAAAAAATCCCTAAGTACCTATAAGTTTAATGAAGACTATACTAAAATTTAATGGTTATTGCTGTAAAGGTACAGCTGAAAAATACAATCATTTTAAACTTCTTATGAAATAACTGGCACACAGGTGTAAATATCGGTATTTCATATAATCAAATACATTTTGTCTGTATACGTAAGAATAACTGTTTCTCTGTTCAAACTTGTAAAGAAATCAAATGTTAATAATTTTCACATCTTGAATCCCGTCCTGCGGGCACACAAGTGTTGTTAAAGCGTAAAAAAGTTCTTCATTTAGCGTAATTGTCATCAGGTAACTAAGTTACAACTTTTGTTGTTTAACAGGACCGTGCGTTTCGGTGCGATTCGCGCGAACACGTTTTCGCGTCCCTGTTTTTTTGCGATTGCTGCAGTTTTAGGTATTGTTAACATACCATTCGTAGATGTTAAAAAGTATGTTTTCTTCCACACATACTTTTCCAGTCCCCTAGAAGTTTGATGATGTGATTCATCGATTCGCAATTGTTGTTTTTCCAACCTTTTGGAATTGCGCAATCTCGATTCAATCACCCTGCGCTTAATCGTTGGTAAAATCTTTACTGACCAATATCTTCCTAAACGTGTTCTATACGACTCGTCAATCTTTTGTGCAATGGTATTGAATTCTTTTATTGAATCACTATCTTCACCAAAGATTGATGACATGATCGGGGCCTTGTCTTTATCAGTCATGCCAATTTTAACTGACAAATGTCTCGAAACATTTTCCTGTATGTGTCGTGTACAGAAAGGTTCGACTAGCGTTGTTCTGTCAAAGACTGCGCTAGTCGCCTGCTTAAACGTCCCTTTTCAGGGCCACCATCTTACTCAAAAAGTCATGAGAAACTCGAAAATTACGCATCCCCTCCCACTATATTAGTTATAATAAAAAAAATATAAAGATAATTAAACACATTTTTAATCGTAATTATTCTTAATCGGTAACAGTTAAAATCTAAATTGTTCAATAAATACAATAATGTTATTCTTGACACAGCTGATTAAAGGGGTATCAATGTTTATATATAGCAATTTATTCTAACTGTGTTCACCTATGCCAGAGACGTATAATACATACACGTCTCTGCCTACCCTACGTACACATATGTGGCACGGCGTATAGCTTCATATTTGTTCATCGTATGAATTGAATTCACGATAACTCAATCATTTTTCAACAAATCAAATTAAAATTTGGTATATAGTTGTATCATAGTCATATGAATAACATATCTCATGATGTCGCTTACTTTATCAATCATTTTAAGAGGTAAAGTCTGAAGACGCTTCTTGATCTATATCAGTTTTATTAACACACGTGTGCCAAGCCGACGATAGTAAAATAATAAATTCACGATAACTCGGTCATTTTTTCATATATCTAAGTGTAATTTGATATAGAGGTATATTATATTCACATTAACAACATATCTTCTGATGTCGCTTACTTAATCGATGAATTTTAGAGATATGTTCTGAAGACGCTTCTTCATATGTTGAGTTCTATTCACACACGTATGCCACGCCACCGATCATAATATTAAATTAATCATAACTCGATCATTTTTTCAAATATCGGGCTGAAATTTGGAATATATATATCAATAAAAGTCTAACTAATAACATATCCTCTGATGTCGCTTACTTTAGCGGGTAATTGTAACGATATTATCTGGCGACGCTTTCTTCACTTTACATGCTAATACACACATGTGCTACGCTGCGATCGTAAAAATTCAATTCATCATTACTCGGTCATTTTATCAAATATCAAATTGAAATTTGGCAGAGGTGTATTATAGTCATATTAACAACATATCTTCTGATGTCGCTTACTTTATTCAGTATTTTTGAAGATTTTGTCTGGCGACGCTTGTTGTCACTTGAAGACGCTTGTTGTCGGTTGAAGACGCTTTTAAATGAGACCGACTACTACATGAAGTAGGCAAGTATATGGTAGAACTAGAGCTAGGTCAATGTATGGTAGAGTCTACTAAAGTTATCAGGG